CAATAGTCTGTATCAAAACTGAGGAATTGGCGAAAGGTGAATCTGTATGAAAAAATTAAAGTTGTGTTGTTAAACGTATTTGGTATCTAGATTTATAATAATTATTTATCATCATATTTCCTCAGCCTCCAATTGCAATGGGATGGACATGTTGATAAAAAGAAATATACATTTTATTTCATTTGTACAAAATTGCATTTTTGTTGAATACTCCATTGTTACCCCATAATACCACAGGTATGCACACTGTTTAAGTATTCTTATATTTTCAAACATTTAACGGCTTCATGAAAACATCGTAGTTCATTTTGAATCTTCAAAAATTAAATTCATTTCTTAAATATATCTTATTCATTTGTTTGCATTTTTGTTAACTGAGAAGGTATCCTCTTATATTTTCCAACATTTGGATTGAAACATCGTTTTTTTTTTCAGTTGCTTCATTTAAAAATTGTTTGAAACTCTAATTAATAATTTTTCTTCATTTTTAGTTAAAAAAACAACAACATTTTTTTTTTCTTACCTTTTTTATTCAATGATAATCATATACAATACAAATATATTGTTCTGTCAAAATATAGTAAATATCAGTTAAACTCAGGTACAATACAGACTATAATTAATATAAAAGATAATTCACACATAATTCACACCTATTGTTCTATACCTAATTATCAAATGTGTGCAATACGAGAATACACTCTGTGAGCACTGAGATCACAAAATGATAAGCCCCTTACCTCCTCCTATATGATTATACAGTAAAGACAAATTCCGAAATAAGTGCAGGATCAAAAGTTAAATAGAAGGTACACAATGGCACTATGTAAATACAAGATTTCGTAAAAGTCTCATTAATTTTGTACTATTCACTACCAAAAAATCCTTGACAAGCAAAAAAAAAGGGTCATCAGACGTTTTTATTGAAGGGACACGAGCACATACTAGTAGTACATGTAGCTATGTTTTCTATAGTTTACTTTATATCGACAAAACTATTTGGGGTACGCCCCCCCCCCCCACCACGGTTCTTACGACCGTGGTAATTGCAGCATTTTGAAATATTTCTTCATGTCATTAGCCTTATTTTAACTGTCAGTTGAACTATAAGATACTATTTGGAATAAATATATCAGCAGTGAAAAATGTTATTTTCATCCACAGTTGTGCGGTATTTCAATGAGTATTTCTAAAATGCTTGGTTATGATCAAAGAATATAATTTAACATAATCATTTCATTTGATGACAATACCCTCTAATTTCTATGGATCCATGCAATTTTCATGAATCCCCTCCCCCTTATTTTGTCTGATGATGAAGTTACTGCTATAGAAAAAAAAACTATTAAAGCTATGTATTAGTAGGGATTTTTTTTTATAAATCCGGTGATATTTCTGAAACCATGAGTAATATACCAACTACTTTGTAATCGTGATACAAAATGTTACAGATAAGAAGAATTTAATTAAGAAAAAAGATTTGTAGATTTAACAAGCCGACCCTCCAGATCAAAGAAGCCTCGGATATTTTACTCAGAAAATACAACATTAAATGTAGAAAAAATGGGGTTTCATTACTAGTCCTACCAGCTCCACTCCTCTGTCGAATTTATCTCCACATTTCAATATTTTATCCCACTGAATCAATAGTAGACTTTGGAATACCCAGTGGTTCAGGATTATAACTAATTTTGCAAATTTTTAATCATTAATATGTAATATCTACAATAGGATTTATTTTTTCTTTTTCAAAAGCAATCATTTTAGCATTAGAAATCGACCAGAAGTATACAAAGAAAAGAAATACATCAAAGGAGTATATATGTTAAGAGCCAATTTTGGCCCCCTAAAAATCAACTTTTTAGAATGACATTCAGATATGTTTAATTGATATTTATTTTGAAGAAGAGATTATATTAGAAATATTTCTGATATATTTTTCACATTTATATGCACTCTCTAGCTGTAAATGACATGAGAAGTAATGTTATTTTTGTTATCTAACAAAAAAGCCAAAAATATGCCTTTTTCTTGTTTTTCTTTTCTTATGGGAAACATAGAGCGCACTGTAGAACATACATGATTTTTCTCTCACTAATCAGTATTGGATAGATACATCTTTTGTAAAAATATAAATCTTGTTCTAATTTGCGCTCTATATTTTCTGGAAGAAAAACTGCTTGAAAATAAGCAGTTTTATACAAAAATATGCTAAAATGGCGGGAAAAGGTGATATTCATGATGTCATATTTCTAAAATAAGATCATTTTGATCAAAATGAAAATGACCAATAAAGGTCACATATATAGCTGTACAAATTAGAGCTATATATAAAGTAAAATTAAGATGTTCATTTTAAGGGGCCAATTTAGACACTTACCATATATCGCTCTTTGCATTTAAAATAAAGAAGTATATAGATAGTATTTTCATAATGACTTAAGTATAAAAACTGAATTAAAACTAAAAAATATTTTTATATCCATGTCAATATGAAATATGGAGTTAACGAACAGCAATCAAACATCAAAAATTCATTGAAACAGTACACACCGGGAGCAGAACAGACCTCTAAAAGATTGGAGATAGGATTAGAAACAAGGTGGAGCATCCCCCTGTCGACCGGTCACATCCACCAAGTGCTCATTATTATGAACTTAAAAATCCTTAGACAATTAAGCTTGAAAGTAATTGCCGTTCAATAAGTATGGTTTTTGCTGAGAAGGTATTTGTTCCGATCATAGAATCTGCAAAATGATAATTTTAAACGAGACTCTTGATATTCTTGTTTCATCAACTTGTTTGTCAATAGCTTGCCTCCTTTTAGAAATTCTTCATACAAATGATCTTGCGCAACAAATCGACCGAAGGACATAAAACTGAAAGCTAAAATGCTAAATAAGATTCAAATAAAATACAAATAATTAAATAAGGTGCACGTGGAGAAAAAAAATTGTGCTTGTGATAAAAATGACTTCCTTAAACGCAAGTCAAACTAACTCTAAGGTCAACGTCAAGAATTAAAAAGGTGTTGGTTCCAAAAAATTCTAGTCACAAGAAACACTCAAGTAGAATATAAAAGCCCTGGCATCAACAGTTCAAAAGTTATGGCCAAGGTTAAAGTTTATTTTTAAAAGTATTTCAATCTCCAAGCTAAAGGTAAAATGATACAAAATATTTACCCAAGGAAAGATCATGTCACAAGAAATATACCTGCGTAATATGAAAGCTCTGACAACAACCGTTCAAAAGTTATTGCCAAGGTTAAAATTTGTTGGAATTGCAGAAGTGTGTCAAACCGCAAGACAAAGAAGTCAAATGTGATGCTTTTAGAAGAAAGATCTTGTCACTAGGAAAACACACTTGAAATGTGAAAACCACAACTCTAACCAATCAACAGTTAAGGACAATGTTTAAGTTTTTGCGACAAAATGGAACAAGACCTATAAGTCTCAGACACTTCGATTATGGGGTATGAAAATAATCTGCCGATTAATTTACAGTTTTCGAATGAAGCGACATCCTCCTTTTACATATACCGGTAAGTAAGATTAGACATATATAAATAAAAGATTGTATATTAAAAAGAATATTTTATTCATAATAATCACTTACTTCGGATTACAGAAAATACAGAGGTCACAAGAACCATAAATAGGTGGATTTGTTTCCAATTTCATATTGATGCTGCTGCAGAAACAGGGTTTTCTAGCATAAAATACGAGTTATGCAAAATTACTGACTTAGGTTATTTCTATCTAACCAATCCATAGACCAGACGCATGGGTATAAATGACTAATTAGCCCTACCCTCATATCTCAATCACGTATCCATTAGACACAGTTTGAGTAAAGGATTAGGTGATAATTATAGCCATACAATTAATTGGCTGCTAGATGTCTATGTGTAAATAAGATCTCATAAGATATAATATGAAATAAACTTATCCCTATCATAAAGGCTAAACCCGAATTTAGAAGCCATTTTTTTTCAAGCATAATACAATTTAACTCACGGTTTGCCTGATAGATGTCATTAATTAAATAAGGAGAATGAACTACATGCCCCAGATGACCAATTATTAACTTTAACAACTTTAAATTTTTTCTAAAGGATATCAGAGTGAACCTCTGTCTTTCTCCTCTAATGAAGTAAATTGATCTGTGAGACATGTGATATTTAGTGATTTGAAATGCAGTTTGAGTGTTTCATAACAAAGATATAATTTATCTCCTATTCAATAAAATGCGTCTAAAAATTGTGGGCATTTCATATTATTTCATTAATACATAAGTTTGCTACAATGACCTTGTCAGCAAATACATCTTATCATTAAGACAAATGCTGACTGACGTTTTATATACTAATTGTTAAGCTATAATTTTCACACTGAATTGTCAACCGATTTTTCCATTATTTACCGATCATGACAGGAGCACATAGCGGATTTGAGCATTTGGCAGAGGATGCTCACTCACCCTTGACACTTGATCCCACCTCTGACGTTTGAGAGGTCCGTACTCTGCTCCTAATTTGTACTGTTTAATGGATTTTTGTGCTTGAATACTGATCGTTGTCTCCATATATTTCATTTGAAAATTTGATTTTTATGTTATGCCCTTTAAATACAAGATTTGCTCTGCTTTTATTTTACTCAATCATATACAAGAGACTCATTTATATCACAAAAATTTAATGTACAATTTTTGTGTTTTAAAATAATCAATCAATACTCAAAGCAGGATTTGTTTTGTAAAAAATCGTTATACAATGTAAAAAAATAAAATACACACTACATGTACACGGTGAAAGATTTCTTCAGACTAAACAAACAAATATTTCACTTTGAAACGTCTCGCTCTTAAACATAATTATGATAAATACATAAACAACACCAACAAAGACCCCTTACGGAATTCTACAGATTGTGTATTTACACAGCAAAAAAGTTACGTATATACAATGTATTAAAGTTTTTACAATTAAGTTGATATACAATCTAAATTTAAAAGTTAAACTTTACGATTAAATAACTTTTTACATTTTCTTTTTATAAGATGTCTTTTACTCTTCAAATACCAGAAAATATCTCTGGCTCTACTGTTTATCCGAGTCTTCACAACAAATATACCCATAAGTTTCCGTTTCTTTCTATTCCTTCGACACTGTTTACCATTTCGTTTACATTTTCTGCCTTGATCTCTGGCGTAGACACATTGACACGTCTTATGATTTTCTAATAAATTTCTAAATTCCTTTGCGATTATTTTTCCTTTTTTTATTGTCCTTGTCCCTGTGAAATTAAAAGAAGAGGATGAAATGGCACCTAAAAACAAAAGCTAGGTTTTGATCAAACAAAAATAATTTTGAATTTGACATAAAGAATTTGCGATTCTGTTAAAGGACTTTCAATTCGCTAAAACGGTAATTTTAAAAAATTAAAGAAACGAATGTAATTGATTGATTGATTGATTGTATGTTGTTTAACGTCCCTCTCGAGAATTTTTCACTAATAGAGACGAATTGATAACAGATCGTTTAATTCGTTTAAATAAATTAATTTTAAAAAAAGAATTATTTAAAGTAAATTCCGAATTTTCATGTAACAAATTGAATTAAACGAATTCAATAATTTGTTAAAACTAATTTTATTCTAAATCGAATTCGATCTTCAGGCCTTTTAGGAAATTTATTAATGACTTTAAACTCATGGTTTATTTGTCTTAAGGAATTTTATTCGTCTTAAGGAATTTTATTCGTTAAGAAAATTAACACATTTGAGAATAAGTTTAAAAGATTTGTATTCATTAAATCAACTTTAAGAATTTGTTTTAACGAATGAAATTCGTTGACATTTTTTAATAATGAATATATAAAATTGTTATCACGAATTAAATTCATTAAAACAAAATTAAGATTTGCGTGTTATAACAAGTTACATTCGTTGAAATAAATACAAAAATTTGTTATAATGAAGATATACATATACATATTTAAGTAAATTAATACATGTATATATACGAAGGTCCTTCAACAAGTAATGCATTGGTCATCAAAAACAACAGTAAAACACTGAGATCATTTACTTCCTTTGCAGTCAGTCTACTCGTTCAAAAAACCTCTGTAAACCTTTACACGTCCCAAGTCTCTTACCCCGAACTCTTCTTTGGAGTAACTTAAAACTAATAAAAGATTGTAATGGACATCACACCCCAAGATAAAATTAAAATAGATCAAATGTAGAAGCGTCTTCCTTTGAAGTAAAGAGAAGGTACTGTAATTAAACGACCCTTGCATCCCTTTAAAATTTTAAAATAAATCTTCCATTGGTGATTCTCCTTTTGAGAATATGTATTAGGTACATGTATTACTTGACTTCTTAAAATGAAAAGAAAACAAAACTAGTTAAAGACATATTCGGGGCTTTTTTTGCAATAATGTGACGACAGCTTCCTCTCTGAATCTACATTTCATTGACCCTTCATATACGCTATTAACAGTGCACTCATGTTACTTCCCCCATCATGGTTGTAAAATGTATAATTATACATGCACTAGTATTTTAATATACACTTGAACGCGTGATTTCTTATAGGCGACTGCACGGAAATAATGCACTTATTTGACTGAAATATTTTTCATTTCTTCTTTCAAGAGAACTCAATTAAATGTTGTCATGATGGAATGTGAAATGTATTACCAATACATCTCATTGTAAATATGTCCTTTTCAGATATTATACATTAATATTTTTGTGTTCCTTCAGATCTTCATCAACTAGTTCATCTGCGATTTTTTACGTTCACTTTTCCACTTTTTTAATATCTTAATCCACCTTAACACCATGCTATGAAAAAGACTAGTATTTCTAGATATCGATAAGCTAATCTTATTTCATTTACACAACAATTTTTGTAATCAACCGCAGTTTTTCTAAAATCCCTTATTTTTATCTTCTTGACAGATACAATTTCAAAACAATTTACGAGGGTTCTCCCAAAAAGTCGTAGACAGGGAAAACAGTTTAGTTTCTCTTTGCTAAATTAAATTTCTGTTCATGCCATAGCAAAAAGTAACATTTTATGATCATGCATTTCAAGTTTCATGATGATATCACATTTAATAAGAAAATTATGAAGAAATAAAGAAAGCGTGTAAGTGTACATCGGCGCACGAAAGCAAGCGTAATTTACGTCTCTTATAACGTCATGATCTCTTTTTCTGCTTCGCATGCGTCTGTAACATCCAATATTTTTAAAGTGAAAAACAATTGTTGATTAAGTGACTTATTTAAATTCACTACTGTCCGTTTTGTTTGTTTTTTTAGCAGGTATAAAATTTCAGTCGTAATTTAGTCGACAGATCACCTTTTAGATTTGTAGGCAGCAAAGAATACACAATGTTTGACGTCATTCGTGGGCCAGAACGTTCCCCATTGTCTTCGTTTTACAAAAAGTCCTCTACTTCTTACATGCGGTAACTATTTTTGGTATAGAGGATGAACTATCATTAGATCTCATAGGATTTAAAAACAACTTTTCCATTTGAATCTAGTGTGTAATGCCACTTTTGTAATCTTTTTTCCTGTGTCTAATGTATATAAACCATATCAAAAACAATTTATTTCAAAGAACATTGAATATATTATGTCTATGAAAATTTTATTGGTATTGGTTGCATGTTAACAAAGTTATGAACATTGTCTACGACTACTTTTTGGGACAACCCTCGTAAAGTTCAGGAAAGTGTCAAATCTTAATTTAAAAGTGAATTTTTTTGCGAAGACAAAAGTAAAAGGCATGCAATTTTCGGTGGTACGAAGTTCTCATATATAATTTTATAGTGCGCAAAAATTAATTGCTCCTGCATTTAATTTGAAAAACCATGTGTTGCATTACTCACTGAACGACCCTCGCACATGTATGTTTAAAGTTACAGTTTCCTCATACTACATTACACATACTGTAAAAAAACTGTATACAGTATATATGTGTACTTACGAGAACTTAATTGTTTTGGAAATTCTTCTCAAATGCGTTTCCTTTTCACGTATTTTGTATTTGTAAACAATACATCTAAGAGTAACTAACTTTCATTAAAAAAATTTCCGCACTTAAATTTACCAAAGTCGCCAAAATATGATAACACGATTTCAGTAATCTAGATTGGCTTTTACTACAAGGGAAACACAATTCCACAGAAGAGGTATATTAAAAATAATTACTTGGATTTTCTTTTTTGCAGAAATTCTTCAACGTTATGTTCTTGCATTTTGCGGGGCATATACTGAAATAAATTTATATAAATCGTAAATAAGTAACATTTTCTCAGGAAAACATACTGAAATGCAAATAAAATGCAAAAACATTATCAGTTTCTAATTTTTTAAATTGAGTTAATTCCTTTTACCTTCCAAATGGATTTAAAGTTTTTAAAAATGAAAGTTTTATATGTTATTGTTCATGAATAATTTAACCCTCACCTTTTTATTTCGCCATTTTCGCAGAAATGTGTTTTTGGATGATAAATAATAGAGCTTGGATTACAACATGTCATGCCTTTCTCTCTTTTTTTCTTGAATAACTTTTGGTTGCAACAGAGATCGACTTTCGGGTTATATCTCTTTTTTCCACAAATATTGAAAGTTTTCGTTTTGTTTATGACAATGTTCTCCCAGCTACAAATAGAATTAACGGAATCGTAAGAAACACCTCCGCATTTATGTGGACAACATTTATCATGATACGGCTCTTTCTTAGTGATTATTTCTTCGTGTCTGTCTTTAGTTTTACCACAGCAAAGTTGAGTTGAATTCATTTGCTGGTTAGCACAACATTTTCCTTCTATTTGGATTACATTACCTACAATGGAATTTGTTACCGATTATATAACTGTGTACAATGAGAAAGACAATGAACAGTGAAATTAAGGTTACCTCCACAACACTGTTGATTTCTCTTGTTAAAAGGATGTCCAGCTCCACAGCATCCATTTACATCATAGTTTATCATTCTGGCACCACAGCACCGCCATGATGTCTCGCCCCTCTTCATCACCTGGCCTTCACAACAGTCGTGGGTGTCTGGGTTGTAATTACCTTAATAACAAATAAAACGTTTTTTGAAAAAAAATAATATCCAGAAAGAGAAATATTAAAAAGCATTTAAAAATAGTTCTTGTGATAATTAAAGAAAAAAAAATGACGATTGTTTCTTCACCAAACGATTCTTTACAACGGCCATAAAAACTGAATACACGTACGTCTCTCTACTTACCAAATAAGATAGTTAAGTTTTCAATTGTCACCTTTTAAAAAGCTTATATTTGATTTGAATTCGCAAACAAATGTCAGTTTACTTGAGTATTTATTTCCTTACCACTTTCACACCAGAGAAATCCTTTTTGCACAATGTGTTTCATATCGCAGTCATTGACCTTAGGGTTAAACAATGAAGATCCACAACATCGATATCCTTTCCTATTCGCAATCAGAGTTTGGTCACAGCACATGTGTTTTAATGTTGAATACCTTCTTTCTCCACATTTGCCTTCGTTTAAACCTAATATTTCATTATCATTATAACAATACTGTTTTTCCCTATCGAACGTCTCAGTCCCACAGCATTGCATTTTCTTCGATTGTCCATATACTTTTGAGATGCAACACATATCATGTGAAAATCTGTATGGCTTTGTATCACAACAACCATATAATTCTACAATTGAAATTTTTTATAGATTACAAAACGAGTAATGAAAAAACATAAACCAATTTAAATATATCGCAATATTATTTCAATATCATACAGCAACAGAACAACACAATTGCATGCATTTAAGGACAAGATGATTCAATCTTTTTTTCGAAAGTTCATGAAAATAAAATTGATTAATCATTAATTCATTAAAATGAATGGCTGTTATACGTTTGGATTTTAATTTTTCATTCAAAGTTTTAAGATAATATATTATAAAGGGTAAGAAGTTGCATAGATTCATGGAGATTATTGCAGACAAAGAGAATTTAAAACATCATAAAAAGTATACATTTTCTTAATACAATGTACATAATGTTATTTTCATAACTTTCATTTACAACAAAATATTTATTAATCCAGACACTCGTTTTTTTGTTGTTGTTGCTGTTTTTGTTTTTTGTTTTTTGTTTTGATTTTTTTTGCTCCAGCTGTCTTTAAAACATTTTGACCATTTACTGTAAACGTTTTATTATATTTGGCTATGTTTTTTTAGCGTCTTTGGCGGAAAGAAACTTACGCTAATTCAAGTACAACGCTAAATGTCTTGCAAGAACATTAAGAAATGCGCTAAATCAAACCCACGCTAAGGTGTTCAAAAGTCAGTTTCCGCCAAATATCGTATACGCCAAATATAATACATTTACAGTAGTACATTTTTGACACAATTAGTTATTTTGTCATCTATCTGAAACGTTATCAACATGCAAATGAATCCTTACCAACAAATATATTTTTATTAGAGAGAGAGAAAAAAATCCCAAACATAGCTTACTGGAACTCTTTTCATATTTGATTCCATTGCAGCATAAGCTCCTGTCTGGGTCGTAAGGATCAGTACCACAGCAGCTGATCCTCTCGTTAAGTCTGGATTTGGGACGCAATATCGCTTCACAGCAAACATGGGTACTAGTGTTGTATAAAACGTCTGCAAGTGTAGTACATTTGCCTTAAATCATACTATCACTAAATATTTATTAATTTACAGTATTTATTTATTTATTTCAGTGTTTTGTATTGCTTTCTCCATAACATTACCTTTGCAACACAGAACATTTGGAGATTTGGTATGCACAGTCCTATTACAACACGTTTCTTGCTCTGTGTTGTATAATGATGAACCACAAACCAACTTATTCTCTGTAAATTTAAGTTGAAGCCACTTTATTTGCGTAATTATTCAAATTTATGTGTTTATGAAATAGACTGTAGTGCTTACAGAATATTTAATTCAAGCAAAAATCCTTTCTTCATTCCTCGTGCAGGTCGAGTTATTTCTAAATTGTCAATTCAAATATTTTATTTATGATATTATAAAGAATGGAAACGGATGGGCCCCTTTTCTGTGATTGTAATTTGAACACATGTTGTAAAAATATGTTTATAAGAGTCTTGTATCTATTTTATCCGATCAATACATTTAAAGCTTACCTTCAAATATCGTACTCTTACAAGAAGGTTCTCTTGTTGTTGATTTAACAATATCTTTCTTTGGAAGTCTGTATAGATCTGTTCCATTGCATCCATATGAATCTTGTAAAGAATTCGTAAACAATTATTTGAATGATGATTGAAAATTATTTTAACATGATTTGATATAAAAATATGGACAAAGACAACCAGGTGGGTTTTGTTTTCTGTCAAGTGCGATGGACACGCCAAAGTCCGATGGTCTGCGACAAACCCCAATTAAGCATTGAATTCATATTCAGCGGTATTCAATTGAATTTGTCGGCACGGCCAGGTGTGTTATAGGACCGAAGACATCCCAAAATATGAATTCAATGCTTATATCTATATTCTCTAATTTTCCTTTATCATAATTGTTTATTTCGTTCATGTTTAATGTGAATTTAGCGCCCTTCGGTATTGGTGTGCTTAATAAACGTAATAGCCGATCGTAACGTTGCAAAGCCGTTTGTGACGTTGGAAAGTTAAATAACGCAAGGAACATTGCGAGGAAAAAAAATGACAAATTAATTTTAAATGCACATTTGTTGTATTTTACGTTGATTTTAAAAGGGTATTTTTTTTAAAAATGAAATTGAGTCAAAACAATATACAGTTTGGTGTTCCTAAATATTGAAAATTCATGTAGTTCCTACTGTGAATTCTACCGCGCTGTGACAAGGTTTCGCGTGTGTTATAGAAATTTGAACGTGTGGATTTCTAATGGATTTCATAAAGAAAATTACAATGAATGTAAATATTGGCTCGTGAACGCCAAAGTCCATTGGTCACGCCAAAATCCAAAATCAATTGAACCTTGTCATGGCGCGGGCATAGCATTTTTGTGCAGTCAGTAGAATGACGTCATAAACATTGTTATCCGCGCCATCGGACTTTAGCGTGCCAAACCATCAATATTTCTCGCAAACCATCGAATTTTAGGGTTACCATCGGACTTTGGAGTCGCATCGCACTGTGGAATTCTACGTGTACATATATATGCAGCATAAATATATACATCTATATAGGTGTTCCTTTGCCAACTATCGCACTAGAAATGAAAGTAAAGGGGCTTTCGGTTTGAGACCTTAAAAACCAAGGCCCTGGGTCACAAAAGCATCGGCACGATAAAGAACACTCATGTTCTATAGCCCTTATTTTCGAATAAAGCTCTAATTTTGAAGCCCTTCAATTGTCTATGGGGACGTCTCAATATGATTGAAAACTAGTTAAACAAATGATCGACCATATATTCAAAAAAGTTTTAGATGAAAATGTTATGGCTTACCAAAATCTTTGGTTCGGTGAAGAACACCATTACAACACAACCAGCTTTTGGGTCCCACGGCCCCACCACAGCACATGTCAGTCTCATTGTTGTACAATGTATCTATATCATCGAGTTTGTAAAAATGTATTTAGTATTATTATCATTATGCAAGCCGTTGTTTTTTTTTTTTGGTTTTTTTTTGTTGTTGTTGTTGTTGTTTTTTTTTTTTTTTGGTTTGTTTCACCGTAAATATTTATATTGTTGAATTAAATATGATTGTTTAAATAAATATTTTTGAATGGATTATCTACATCAGATAAATGTATTCTTACCCTTACAGCAACCAACTGAGTTCGGGTTACTGAAGCTGTCTCTCCTTGTAACGGTGCCGTTACAGCAAATCTGTTCAGGTGTGTTGTATTCCACATATGTGTCAAAGCCACAGAGCAAGGCGGACACTGTAAATAATATGGAAAAATATCTTCTTAATTGTTAATAATAAAAAAAAAAAGACATGAAAGAGTTCTAGGTATACGGAATAAGTTCTGAGGTTAGTCACCTATGCATTTTGGCTAGAAATCAGTTTAGCATTGTAAACTTAAAGAGCTTTAAAGACTATGACATATCTGTTTAATTATTTGATGCTTAACTCTAGATAAAGGATTGGATGTTTACTTGAACTTGTCTATTTTCAGGTTTTGATTTTCTAACAGGTTGTCTACAGACGTTTTTTCTCATATCGAAATCATGATAAGAAGAGGACTATATTTAATGTTTAAAGGTAAGAAAACTTATTTGAAGTCATTGACCAGTAGAGGTGCAACAAAACAGATATTTTAAAACCCCTGAACATTTCCCATTCTAAAAATATATTTGGAATTTTTAAATCTATAATTATACAATCTATAAATATCTCTTTTTGACTCATGATATATATTTATATATGTATTTGAATATATTTTAGCAAGAACAAGCCTGTTTTCTTTCATGCTGAAGAAAATGGCATTTTTAAATATGTGTTTGTTTTTTAAAGTAGCACAATGACGTCATTATTTGGTATAATTCTAATTGTTTTTTTTTCTGCAATACAACCTCTTTTGTGAATTGTCGTTTTGGAAATAACAAAAAAAAGACCCAGTTCAACGTGCTTCAAATAAATACATTATTGAAATGGTGGGTCTACAGTCTTCTTTTTTAAAAATTTTATTTAAAAACCTTTAACAAAGCATTTAACAACACACATGCATAATAATTTACGCAAATAATATTTCCAATATTTTTTTTAAAAAAGAGTTTATGCTTAGAAAAAAATTGTGCAAAAAATCAAAATAACTAAAAAAAAAACATTAAATTGATATTGGTTTTCTTAAATAAATCATACACTTTAATTTTAGTAATGTTTCATGAATTTAAATCAGTCTTACCTTCATTAGTAAAGGCAAGCAAAAACAGATAATGAAATCCTTGATTCATATTTTAACTATGACTCTTACATACTCTAGATGGTATATATTCTTAAAATCCTTGATTCATTATTTTAAACTGTGACTCTTACATACTCTGGATGGTATATATTCTGGAACCAATTCACGTGCTTTCCGAACATAAGACCACGTAATCGGGGAAAATTTTGGGAGAGAGAATAAACTTGGCAAGTGTTCTTCATATGATTTGTAATTTAAAAAATTAAATCAAAACATAGAGAGTGTGTATAACTCTTTTGAGGGTTGTGTCTCGTTAAAATTTATAATAAATTTCAATATGACTTCATAGCTTTTTGCTTTGTCCTTATGAAGGGACAGATCATCCCAAAAATATAAATTGATATATTTTTTTCTTTTATATAATAACATTCTACTATCTCCTGTGTATGGATTTTACGTCTTCCAACTTTGATAAACTTAAAAGCTTGCTCTTATTACGATCAATTTTATACCGATACAAAAAACTGACAATTACGTTAGAGTGATTTCAACAACCTCTTCTAAAGTCAGCATTATGTAAAATAAGTGTAAATTACAGTAACTTTGTTAGCAAACAAAACCTATCATTAGGCTCTTTTTTGGCTGACTTGTTACAAACCAATTGAGCTGAAAACATCAACTGTTGCCTGTCGTCTGTCTGTCTGCCTTTCCCCAAAAACCACTGGGTGAATTTTTACCAAAATTGCTACAAAATACCCTCTAGTAAAAGGTTTTTTAATTGTCAAAATAAAGGCTCAAGTCCCATTACAAGGAAATAATCAAGAGAAGACAAAATAATGTGGGCAATTTTAACCAAAATTTACATTAAAGGAGGTTAAAAAATCTTCAAGAAAATTATCAAGAGAAGACAAAAATAATGTAGGGTCATTAAAAAATCTTTTCAAGAACCAACGGGACAGAAAATATTAAACTTATGTGAAACGTCCTGTGGATATCACACTGACTGACACATCTTTTGCATATATGGATATTAAACTTGAAAAAGAACTTAGTGGTAATTTAACAACCAAGCTCTATGATAAACGTGATGATTTTTAACTTTTTACTCCTCAACTTCCCTCACTTATGCAGCAATATACCTTCATCACCTGCATACGTAGTGTATTTCTCTCAGTTGATTCGATACGAAAGAGCATGTTCTACGTATACATGTACAATTTCTAAAACGATATAAATTATTGACAAACAAGTTGATGAAACAAGGTATTGTTCAATTTTGTAATCCTATGGGGTACAAGACCTTTTTGGCAAAAACAATTGAAATTTAGTTTTACATGGAAATTAATTGGAAAATAGAAAAAAAAATCTTTATAAATCTTCTCCACCATGGCACCTGATTCCACCTCTGATGCGTCCAGAAAAAAAACTGCTCTTTTTAACTTTTTGTGAAAGCAATGTTATAGTAGTGTAAGCATTAATTTTACATTTTTCAAATCATGACACCCGGGTGACAGGCAAGGTCGCAATAGGGAATCCAAGTTTGAAACCACAGTTGAAATCAAAGTTTTACATTGAAATATACAGCAAAATCTTTAAATATCTTCTTCACAAAAACACTTGGCTATGACACAATTGGGAATCCAAATTTTACCTTGATGTAAAAAGAACAAAAACCACTAGGCCATAAAGATGAAACTAAAGAGGAAGAATCAGTGTAGAATGCAGACCCTAACTTGTTCAACTCATGACCTCGGGAATAATGCGCACCACAATCAGAGAATCAAACTTTTAAATTGAAAGATACATGAAAAATATTTTTTTAAAAACTTCTCAGGAACCACTGGGTCAGAGTAGCTGAAACTTATATGGAAACGTCCTGGTTTAGTGTTGATTCTGAATTGCTCAAAACATAACCACCGGGTAGGGCGGGGACACATTAGGTATTACACGGGAAAATCTGGTGAAGAACAGCAGGGTCAAAGTTACTTATCTGATGGCTGTGGAACTGAATACTCCTGCCTACCAGATAAACACATAGAGCTAGCAGCCGGTGTGCCCCTCAGCTGGGATGCTTAGCCATCTTTGGCACCTGATCACACCTTTGGAATTTCAGGGGTACATGTTTATGTTCTATTAACTGATTAGTTTTGATTTTTAATTTTTAGATCGATCACTTTTCATTTTTTAACCTTCCTTATTGTGAATTTAAAAAAAATTACAGAAATTAAGACAGTTCAAAAATCGTTTATTTTTAAATGTCAAAAACAGTGAACTCCTTGAAAATAAACCCTGTGTCTACCGACCATTGAACCTAAATGGGAAAATTTCTCTAAGAAACCTTCTCTTTTTGAAAACTGTATATATATCCATTCACATTTTAGGTCAAGTAGAGTTGTCATGAATGTTATACCAAATTAGAACTTTGTACAACTTTGATGACATCAATGGAAACTTATGTGTGTAGAACACATTTTTTAGTAAACAAAATTATATAATAAAAGATGGAAAAGTGCACGATTGAGTTCGTTCTGTGATGTGAATAGCTTAAATTATCTCTCCATTAATCTGCTGAAATGTTATTACATAACATATTACATAATTAAATATCTGTTGTGAAAATCCTTCTAATATGACATTTAAATATTTTCTTACTTTATTTCTTTAAATCTTAATCTTTAAAATGATTTCCTCTTCTTGGTGATTGTTTCACTTGTTTATAATTGAAGGATCATATTTTTCTTGATGTAATTACTAACTATTCCACATAAAAAATGTGCATAAAGTGTACATATCCCAAAACAAAGTGTAATCAAGCATCGATAATATATATTATATTTCTATTCTTAACACTGTTGTTCAATGAACACATTGATCATCAAACAAAAAAAAACGAAAAGCTGTGGTTACTTATTCAGACAATGTAAATATGATTTTTTTTTAAATAGTTTTTCTTTTGTTTATTTTGTCATTTGCTTATTTTCAATTTTGTTGAAAATGATAAAAACATGACGAATTTTTCATGATGACATTTTTTGCCCCGTGGGGATCCGGGTTAGAATAGGTCCTCATTACCCCCTTGCTTGTCGTAAATCGGGCGGTCCTTCGGATGAGACCGTATAAACCGTGTCACAGCAGGTGTGGCACGATAAAGATCCCTCACTGCTCAAAGGTCGCAAGTGACGAGCATAGGCCTAAATTTGCAGCCCTTCACCGGCAATGGTGACGTCTCCATATCAGTGAAATATTCTGGAGAGAGACGTTAAACAGTATACAATCATTTAAGGAAGGCCCACACTTTTACGGATCCGGTTCTAATTTTACACATCAATATAAAATTCTAATTTTCACTTTTCTATTAATATATATCTTTTTGGGTGATTAAAAATGATTTAGCAAGTATATATTTGTTTATTATAGTGTTATTGTGCATATGAAGCATTTAATATACATTATTTATGGAAAGTAACACGTTGTACTCTGTCCATAAGATCTATATGTCATTTGATACATACACAGACACAAAATTCTAATTGCTTTTATGGACCTAAATCTTTTAAAATTTCTTTTAAGCAAACTAACCTGAGATCTATTTTTATTGATTTAGAGTCTATATCATCCATTTAATTTTTACTTTTTAATAATTTTGCATTGATTAATTGAAAAAATTGATATTCCAAAAATGGGGGTACACGTCTTCAAAAGACTGTTCTGTTAAAATTCTCTGGTCAACCATAATAAAGAAGCTGTTTTTGTGAACATTAGATATAATTCTTAATAGTTTTAAAGAAAAAATGGCATCTAAACATTTTGGATTTTGAGAATTATAAAAAATAAAGATATTTTGAGATTTTTTTCTGAAAAATGGACAGATTCAACACCAATTTGTTAAAAAAGATTTCAAATATTCTCTTGGCAAATGAATATTTTTGATCTTCATAAGTTTTAACATAAATTTGATGTGATTTGGTGCATAACTAAAAGAAATATGATATCACACTTTTTTATGTTCAATGTTGGCTGTAAAGTTTTTAGAGGTATGTGCGCTGGGACATGTTGTATGAAAATTAACCTGCAAAGATATGTCTTTTATGTGTGTTTTAGTAAGTTTAAGACTTGTTCAAGGTATTCAAATTGAAAAATTATCAGTTTGACAGAAAATTCTGAAAGTACGGACCTACCTTAAACCTAAGTCTAAAATTAATATAAATTGCATTTTTATACAAATGTTTCAGTCAAGCCCTGTTAAAGAGGATAGTTGGGAGCACCCGATGTATTTTAGAAAGATAAATAAACTATTTATTGTAAATTTATTTAAAAAAAAAAAAGATCTTATTTTGACTATTTTACCAATTTTAAGGTTACTTTTCGTTTTCTAAAAAATTATCCAACAAATCTTAATCTCATTTACATAATTGCTGGAGTTTGAAAATTGCGCTTGTTGTTAGTTGATCTGACAGTCAATTTATTTTTATAGAAACTAAACGTTTGCTCCCAAATTCTTATCACATTTTTTAAGTGACGTGTTATTTTGTGGATTGACTGATTGGTTGTACATTGTTTAACGTCCTTCGACAGAATTTTTCACTCATATGGAGACGCCACCTCTGCCGGTGGAGAGCTACAAATTTTGTCCTATGCCCAGCACTCATGACCATTGAGCAGTGATGGGTTTTTTTCTGTGTATACGGTCTCATTCGAAGGACCAGTCTCCACGTAATATTTCGAACCTGCGACGTAAGGATTGACTACTTACTTCGCGTCTCTAGAGCAGACACTCTAACCACTGTGCCACGCGGGCGACTTTTGCCACGCGGGCAATTTTATTTTATTTGTGGAAAAGAATCAATATATTTTTCTTATGACAAACTACTTCTAGTGAAAAAGTTTTAAAGACGTAGGGATTTAACATCTTCATTAAAAATAACCAATTACACTGTATGATAAAATTTAGATGATCTTACAATACTGCAATGAACAAAATAAAAAAAAAATATCTTAAAAATGCTTTACATACGTGTATTACTTTCTCAACACATGATCAAAATGGTATACAGACATATGTAAACATTGTTCGATTTGACCACTTCTTCGATTTTCATTAAAACTAATCGTTGCTGATGAAAAAGAAAATGTTGATCTTATGTCTGTTTTATTAATTTATAGCTACTCTTCATTTTCCAAAACAAAAGTAATTAATTGGACCCTGGTGGTCATTTACACATCTCTGGAGAAGAAAAATGTCGCTTTTAGTCTGTTGTTCAAATAAATAATTCTGTGGAAACTAAACATTTTCCTCCCATAATCAAATAGTTCAAGATCTCAGCTGACACAATGTAGAATGCTTTTAACAGTTTGTGATCTGATATCCTTTGTATACACCAACAGCTCAATGAAAACATCCGGAATCTCTTAGATAAGTATTATATGATATTACCGACTGATACAAAAAGTGGAAATATAATCTCTCTAAGTAATTGCCTCCTATGGTTTTATAAAGTATAGTTTTATCTTTTCATTTATCATAATGTATGCATGCTTAAAAAACAGGAAATGAAATGAAACGAAGAGACCTTCAATCAATTTATATTCTTACGGATTTTTGACATGAAATTAGACACACATTTGAAACACTTAAAAAATGAATTCAATTGTTTTTCAGAAAATTTAAAAAAAATCAAATTGCGCAAAAGTTTGTTCCATTATAGTATCTGTTTTAAACATAAAGGGATCGATTGCATTTCAACATCGCTGCGCAACATAAGAAAAACGAACCTACCTGAATTGTCAATCAACAGGGTAACCGTAAATACAGACAGTAAATTCATTACTGCTGACTCTGTTGTATCCAGAGAAATGATTTAAATTAACTGATCATCATAATAAAAAAACAGAGTCAAAAAGCATTCCTCTTAAGTACATAACACAGTAGGAAAACCAGTATGATAAATTTAGTAACCTGGTCTTTGGCAGGGGTGGCACTAATTTCACTAAAGTTTATATTCATGTATTATTCTTCCAAAAATGCAGCATGGAGTTATATTAATTACTTTTTGAATAATTTTGTATTTTTAATATATAATAAAGCTTATTGATGATTAATTGGATGCAATTTAATTGCAAAGGAATTTTTAACTCCAGGCACCACCTCAAACAGTTTGTAGACCGATATTATGGAGTACTAGTATTTCATTGCTCTAAATTTAAAACAACAAAAAATAAGAGATTTGAAAACATATATTGTTTTGAAATTTCTTGCAAATAAATTGATTTTATGAATATATTCAATGAAAGAGAACATTTTTCTTAACTAAAGGTTACTGCTGGGTATAATTATGTTAATTTAAAAGTAGTAAAAAGCAGAGGTTTGAAAATATGGCAAATTTTTCAAATAAATTGATTTTATGCACCACCTCAAATAGTTTGTAGACCGATGTTAATACTGGTATTGGATTAAAAAAGGTTGCAATTTTTTGAAACTAATATTTTGTTCTAAGAAATTGAAACCCTTCTCATGTTTTTAAATGAAAGAAATGAACTATGCATTTTTCCCAAATTAACGACAGATTAAATTATTGACTCCTGTAAGGAGAGCATAAATTGGACATTAAACATTAGAATGTCCTTTAATTAAAATATACCATTTGATTTCTTACAAATATGTGTGAGTCTGGTTACTAAGGTGACCTTTATTTTTATAAATCAGTAAAATAAGTAAATTAAGCTGATATCAATATACTGAAATATACTTTGATGTTGTAAAGGAAAATAAAACATGAAAGTATGCTACATACAATATAACAGAGGACATAAACGCATTTTAAATGTAAGCTCGAGAATGGCCAATACTAGTATGTTATGTCTCATTTTCTATACAGAATATAGCGATTGAGTGGCATTGTTTATATGCTTCCTTCCAATTACAATTGATATTTGAAATCAAAACGCTTATATTCTCTTTTTTGGTATGTTTAAGGAGAAATGTTTCGTACTACCTTAAAATCATATGTTTAAGTATAACATTTCAAAACACAATAAATCATCGGATATTATGTTGTTGTTGTTCCTTTTAAGAATATTGTACAAATTCTAATATTCCAATTAGTTAAACAGCTACACTGTAGGCTATTACAATCTCAGGATATATATTATCGTTATATATACTTGATGGTCGTCTGCCATGAATTGTAAATTCGGAAACATGTTTAATTACATTTGCACGATCACTCGAAAAAAAATCAATCGTTTTCAGGAAATCAACGATACATGTATACAAATCACAAAATTACTAATTAAGGAAAACAAATGCCATTTTATAGCAAGTTTACTAGCTATGTCTTCAAACAAGTTTAGGTTTTAAAACCATAATATAAAATCTATAACTTTGTTAAAACACTTTTTGATAAACTATCTAGCATTGGTCATTTCTTTTAATTGTTTTGTTTTCATTATGCAATCTTTTATTCATAAATTTAATACGCTTTTAAAATTACGATACCATAAATATATACCTTTGAATTATATATGAAGTGGACTCATAACAATATTCTTCATCAAATCCCCACCTCTGATGTTTTGGAGGTCCGTGTTTTCTCTGCTCCTATTTTGTATTGTTTATATTTTTTGATCTTGAAAACGGTTCGTTATCTCCATATGTTTCCATTTAAAAAATTAGATTTTTTATTCCATTAAATTAATTATTTCATGTTGCTCCTTAAATTTTTTTTTTTGATTATTCCCCCTGCACGGAGTGTGCTCCCTGCCAGAACATTATTAAAGTCATTTTGTATCACACTGACTTTATAGATCAAGCAAAGAAAAACATCTTAGGAAACTAATATATAATATATAATATTTATCATAAAAGTTATTTATAGATTTATACAAATCAAACCTGAAATGAATAATTAAATTTTTTATACAATTTAAATAGACCCCAAATTACAGGAACCCAAGAAAATCCCGTTTTTATTTCATAAACATTTAAGGTAACCATAGGAACATCACAGGGCTTTTCCGTAAACTCAACAATATCAAATGCTTTCACTTGTTAGATATGCATGTAATTTTTGGTTTCTTTGTTAATACGAGTTAAAATTGAAGAAATCTCCGAGATTTACCATCCAAGTCGGTATTTAGCTCTAACAATAACGGATATGCCTCGGTCTTTTTCGTCCACTCGACAAAATTAATCGGCCTTTTCCGTCGAGGGAAAAAACTCTAATTTATCTCAGCTAACGGAAAAAACCGAGCGATTTTCTTTACTTATAGAATTCGGTGATATGTTATTAAAGCAGTTTTAAATAAAAACAATAATGAAACATAACGAACTGTATTCAAGATCAAAAGTCCATAAACAATACAAAATAAGAGCAGAGCAAGCACGGATCCCAAAACACCAGAGGTGGGACCAGGCGCCAAGGAGGAGCGAGCGCCGCCCCGCCGACAAGCCAAACTTCCGTGTACTCCCTGTCATGATCGGGAAATAACGGGAAAATCCGTCGCAATTCAGTGTAGAAACAATGGACTAATAATTAGTATGAAAAACGTCAGTCAGCATTTGACTCTGTGTTAAATTGTATTTGCTGACAAGGTCATTGTATCTACCATAGAACATACAAAATGATATATATCCGAAACAAAGTGTGAAAAATGAAAAAGTGAAAATACCGAGAACTGGTCGATCTAAAATATATCTACAATGACAAAAGTAAAGAAACGAACTGTGATCAATCGCAAAAAATCCACAAACAATTCAAATCTGTAAACAGGGTAGGTACACAGATTTTCGGATGTTCCAGAGGTAGGATCAGGGGGCTGGAAGGAGAAAGCAGTCTTCGTAAACCTGCTGTGAGCTCTATGTATTGATCAATTAGAGAACATTTTATATTCAAATTAAACACAAAACTAAAGACCTAACAATTGGTATGAACCAAATCAGCCCAAATATGACCTGATGATAGCAAGGTTACATTTGTTAATTATAATAGACACAGAATTTTACAAAATTTAATTAGGTCACACGTTTATAGTATTGATTAATTAAACCATATCCTAACTTAAAATTTAAAACCCAATATCTCTTCGCCTACAAAATTCCTGTTTTTTTTTTGTAATAACGATGATAATAAAAATAGTATTAAACTGTACAACTGTACAGAAATTATTGCGCTTATCACAAATTGACCAAGTTTGGGGTATACGTATAAGTATTTAATAAACACACATTAATTATATTAGCGGAGTTTGGGTTTAATTGGGTAATCTTTCGTATACTTAACCCTGTGGACACATAGATTGGACATCGAAATCAATGTAAGTCATCATAAACCGCAAACTAAATTTTCATTGCATTATGTGATCTGCAGAAATTGAACCTTTGAATTTGAATAGAAAACACTTACTAGTATATGAAATCTGTAATGTCTTCACATTAAAACTAATTTTATATTTGCATCATTTACAGTCAAAATAAGTCCAAAAATATACCAATCCAAAGCATCTTTTTTTGTTTTGTTTCTAGAAAGTTATTCTAAAGTAGAAAACAAAATTTAAAAGTTAATATTTTTCAAAAATTGTTTTAAATTTATTTTCTTCGAGTTTGCAAATCAAAGAAAGAACAACTATTGCTGCAATCGCATACCCCACTTCACTCTGATCTTTCCTTAATTTAAATTCTTTCAACTTATATGAATAATTACAATTAAATGCAACCTGAACTTCATTGCATTTATTTATAGCCATATTTCATACTTATGAAAATCTTTTCAAATAAAATATGTTTATTTGGAAGGAGCAATAGAGATTAAAAGATTATAACGATCTGATATCATTTATCGATTCGTTTTATTTGTGTAGGTAGGGGCTAATCTATGCTATTTTAACAAGGAATTTACAGAATGCCCACTTGTGACACATTTCTAATTTTAGTCATTAACATCTTCCTTGTTGAAGACCATGTACACACATGTCAGTCAACTGATAAAATGATCGCCCTATCTTTATTTAAACCAATTGATTTGAAATAAAAGTGATATTTTATTACTGGTATATGATTCTAAAAAGAAATTATGCATTTCCATTTGCCTCCTTAATCTATGTGAATTTACTTGATTTAATCCGACATATTTTACAAAAACTTTTTACATAAAATTAAATGTTTAATTAAATGATGTCATAAGACAGTATACCCGCATACCGGTATAATTGTGTTGTCATGAAAATGAAAATAATGAATATTGTTGTCTTTAAAACACGTCTACAAACAAATCTGTGAACAGGATGTGAAACAGGGACCTCCAATTTTTATGGGTTACAAAAGACCTAGCTTTTACTTTTAACGTGAGGGGTGCTTTATAAAGTGCATAAAAGTCATACTTTTAAAAGTTTAAAATTTTCTTAAAGTCCTAAACATTTTTTGTGAATAAATATTTGATTTACATTACATTTAAAATATACTCTAGATAATTTTGAAGAGTAAAAATGGGGTCGTGGTAGAGCATTTACTGGACATGGTTTTGAATCTTAAGATTTTTTTACATTGTACGCAAGTGTTTTGCACCTAATGAGTCTTGTTTAAAGGGACGTTTGATAATGATTACTCTTCGTTATCGTCTTATTTCACCTACGGTAAGTAAATAAGTTAATTGTCTCTCTATTGATCGGACACATGTAGTTAATTGGTATATTTGGATATTAATTTAGACCATGGGTCTAAAAGAAATCTGCGCGTCTACGGGACACCGACCAATCACATTCCAAAACCACTGTGTATATTTAGTTCGCGAAGGGTCTCGAAAAACCAGTTTTTTCTCCCTTAGGGAAAAACCTTTTTATGGCCCAATTGACCTCCCATTACAAAACCTTATTGCAAAATTTACCGGACACAACAAATCATTCTCAAAGATGATTTTGGTACTGTATACATGAAATAGAATTCCGAGAAGTTTTTTATATATAAAAGAGTCAATATCAGTCAGAAA